TAGGTTCTTGGGCTTCAACAATCAAATGTACTGTTTGAGCTGAATTTTCCAGTTGTAGTAAATATTTCACCATCAAAGTTTTTTATTCATAAATGTGAAACTTTACTCTAATTTCTATTCATAGGATAGAATTTAAGAAGTATTTCACTGATAAAAATTGTCAAACAATTTCTCGCTTTGCTGGGCTAACTGCTACACCTAACCAATAATTTATAAACTTAATGCTAAACAAAGTAAAATCTTTATATCAAACAATATGTTCCTATTCATAGTTCAATAGCCCATACTTAAAGTAGCATATACTTTTAGTGGGTTTCTATTCTGAGCAGAAAATGCAGGGCTACATTAACTATGGCACAATTGTGCCAGAGTGCGAAGCGGTGAGGGGCATCAAATTTTGTTAATTTTCTTCAAACTCTGTAAAAGTTTTTGTGCTTCTTCAACAAAGCATTAGCTAAGCATTTATGATGGCTTAAGAAGTGGTGACGGGAGGCCAATTACTCTTAATAACCTCAGTGGAACAAGAGGGTTAGCTAGATCAGTTTCAACAAAAATTCTGTATGAAAACTACGACAGAATTTATACCAACCTTGAAGAATTATCTAAGGATATTCATGCAAGGCAAACAGTAAGAAATGAAACTACTGCTTTGATGAATAAAATGATAATGTTAGATATTGTTTTGGTATAAATTCTTCGAATATTTGATGCTACAAGTGCTAAGTTTCAAATAAAGAGCCTTGATTTGCTGTAAAGCTTATCACTTCACTGAAGGAATATGTAATTTACTATACGAAGAATTCGATAGAATCGAAATTCAAGCTCATCAGCTTTCAAATATAGTAGAAGAACAGTTTAGGAGTGAGAGTTCTAGAAAGAGAAAAAGAAAACTGGCAAATGATGAGACTTCTGAAGGTGAAATTAGTTTATCTGGAACTCACAAGTTTCACGTGCAAAATTTTATACCGGTAGTTGACAAGTTATAAATGTGTTTGGAAAATCGACTTGCTGCACATAAAGTGAAAGACGTGAAGTTTGGTTTTCTATCTAATTTCAAAAATTTAAATGAGACTGAAATTTTTGCTGCAGCTAAAAGATTTGGAGACATTTACTCTCCAGATCTAGACAGCTCTTCTCCCGATGAAAGGGTACAGTTTGTGAAAGTTTTGTTAGTGAAACACCATCCGCCCAACAATGCATCAAAGCAATCAGAAAAAACAAACTCGAATCTGTTTTTCCTAATGTTGACGTGGCATTAAGAATATACTTATGCCTACCTGCCACGAATTGCAGTGCACAGAGAACTTTCTCTAAAATGGCTAGAGTAAAAAATGAATTGCGTGCTTCGATGTTAAATGAACGCTTAAATGCCCTTTTCTTGCTCACGATAGAAAGGACATTGCTTAGGCAAATAGATTATGAAGATGTAAGTAGAGATTTTGCTTCCGCCAAAGCAAGGAAAAAAACGATTTTAGGGTAATGTTTTGGCATGTTTCCATAATGTTGTACAGTAATTATATTGTTTTTTATGTATCTAATTCATTCTTAGTTGTCACGTTGTACAAGTAAATAATTATTATAATAATCGATTAATCTTAATATATCATCTTTAAAAATTAGCTACATCATATTCTAATTTACCTCGAATAATTAGATCATATTCTGTATTTAACTTAGTATGTATTAATTATAATTAACTTCAAATTTGTTTGTACCCTATTCAAGGGGCCTCAAAAAATAAGCGCGCCAGGGTCTCAAACTACCTTAACGGGCTTGAGAAAATATCTCTTTAATATATAAATAAAAAAACATTTACAAATGAAAGTAACTTTATTATGATATATTCTAAGAACAAATACAAAATTAAATTAATTATTCAACCATCCTATTGCTATTATATACTCTACTTATTAACGTAAAAATGTGGTAATATATTACGAAACAAAATGTTCAATCGCTACAACCCTAACGATTAATTAAGATAATTATATTAATCAAAAAAGCCAACCTGGATGATGATGGAATATGATATTAATGATATCCTGATCTCCCCACACTAGCTTCAGTTTGTACTCTTTAAAAATTGGATCTAGATAAGCATGCCATTGGAACTTTCTCATCCTTGTTAAATTCATCAACATCACTCCAGAATTGAGACCTGCAGAAAACATATTTTCACCAAAGTTATAAAATTTACAGACGAACAGTGGGATTTGCTAAGAAAAACAAAAAATTCTAGGAACTTGTACTATAGAACTTTTATCAGGACTTATATTACAAGGAATTACAGTGTAGTGACACAATTATAAAAAAAGAACTTGGGTTGTACAGTGGGATTTACTAAGAAAACAAAAAATTCTAGGAACTTGTAGAATAGAACTTTTATCAGGACTTATATTACAAGGAATTACAGTGTAGTGACACAATTATAAAAAAAGAACTTGGGTTGTACAGTTTGTAAGATTCTGTTTCAATTCTCCGCAAAACTAAGATGCTCCAGTTAAACAAAGATACGTTAGCAGAAACTAATGATAACCAACTTCAACCTAGTAAAGAAATATTGTTTTTGTAACCAGATTACACATAATCGAATTATAAGATTTTCTCTTCACTACATTAGATAAAAATCTTATTTGAATGGTATGTAGACGTTCCACTAAAAGAATGAAAATACAAACACACACACATATACAAGCTAGCAAAGGTATCAGTGCCTTGCACACAACATACTTTGTTGGCTTTATGGGGATGGCAGGATGGTATGTATATGTGATTTGCCAATGCAGGTCTACAAAACATAGAAATTAGCAAAGGTGACTCTTCTTACTCGTGGCATTGGCTTTACATAGCAAAAATTTAAATGGCTACCAAACCTGAAATATTCATGTGATTACTTACTCAGTTAACCCTTTTAATATGGGTGGGTGGATTCCACCTAGCCCATATCCCCCAAAGTAACCATAAAGCAGTTATATTGTAACTTTTTTTAAATGTTCATGTATCTTAACGACATTTTGCAGGTTATCAGGGAAAATAACAGATAAAATATAAAGTTTTTTTCTAAAAAAACCTTTGAAAACTATCGGGATATTATAAATTTTTCCGTGTGAAATTTGACAATTTTCTGTTGCATAAAATTATTTTTAAAACTTAAAATCAAAATTACTTTGCACGTTGGATAGTCAACATTTGAAAAGAAAAAATGCATGAGCAAATCATTAATTAAAAAAGTTTTAAAACTTATATTAAAAATCTGATATCTTGTAGCGTGTAAATGACCCCTGACCATAGGAAGACCCACTGAGGTAGGGTTAAATTATCCACATCTTGTATGTCACGACACCAGAATGACACGTCCATTGACCCCTGACCATAGGAAGACCCATTGAGGTAGGGTTAAATTATCCACATCTTGTATGTCATGACACCAGACAAACACTTCTCCTTCACATACACACAACATACTATAGGCTTTGATTTTTTTGGTGACATACAAAAAATGTTTAATTACATAGCAAAGCATCAAGCATCGGTGATTTCCGATTTATTTAACCCAATAAGTCCAGAAACATAGACAAAACTACAAATAAACCAGATGAAACAGTTCCCAATTAGTGATAAATATTACAAATATATTATATGACAATTAGGTTCTTCAAGGAGAAAGAAAACGCTGTTAACAAAATTTTCAGTACCAATAATAATCCCATTATTCTATTTTCAAGATGGCAAGTGCTTTCATATGTCACTAAAAAAATATCATCGAGATATATATAATATTACTTCAGTATTAAGTGATGTCAGTAAGTTTTTGAGAAAATTGTGGTAAATGTGACCTTTGACCTGAACGGGTTAAAGTCGAGTTACACTCTGTTGTTTGGTGTAGTTCATTCTGATTAACTTTCTCTCTTGTGTTTTAACATTTAACTTTCTCTCTTAAACAGATTTGGATTGTTTTATCTGTCTGTGTATATATATGTGTGTGTGTATATATAAAGTTAATGTTATTCACTTTAAATTTATATATAAAAAAACAAGGTCTACAATTAAGAAAATGTGAAACTACCTAGTGGCTCAAAGAATGGGTGACGGGCAAACCGGTTATACCAGCCTGTGGCCGAATCTTCACTTTCGGGAGTCATTCCTACCATCTGACTAGTATTCATTTGAGAGAAATATCTCCATATATCAGCTACTGGTCGTAAAAACAACACATCGTTGTCAACGTACAGCAGAGAGTCAACATGTTGTAAGATCTCCTGTAAACAGAGAAATCTAGTGATAAAATCTGAAGCACACACACACGGAAAAAAAGTATGTTTACTACGAATTCTTCTGAAAATATGAAAAATTAGTGTGATAATTTGAATATGCAAATGAACAACTGTTCTGTAAATTATCCTTACAAAGAGCAAAGCTAAAGTGTTTTATACAAATAGAAGATAGCCAGCATGACGCATGATCTCCCAAAAATGTACAAAGCTAGTATGATATTCTGAACATACAGAATTTACCTCCTGAAAACATACAAGAGCATCGCTACATTCTGAACATTTGAAAACATCGGAAAGTACCGCACTTTGAATATACAAAAATGACTAAATGTGACATAAAATTTTCTAGTAATGGAGGAGTTGTGAAATGTAAGTATTTCCTAAAAACATGCAATATAGTGCTATACACTGATCACAAAGAAGTGTGAATAAATATGCAAAAATTATTAACAATCTTTATGCCAACCAGACCAATTGTGTAATTTCTGGTAACAAAATAAAGTTCACACAAGATCTGGAAGTCGGAAAAAATTAGAATAAAATATAGGGATCTGTGGTACTTGTTCTGTTAAGCCTTTTGCTGTGGTTATAGTGATTATGGTGGTTTTTTTACTTTCCCAGAATCAACACCACTCTGTTCATATCTTCCAATAATTCTGTGAACACGTCTGGCCCGCGGGCAGAGGCAATTTTTTTTGGGCCTTTTTATTAGTACCAGTAGAAGTTTGTCTCTCACATCTTTCGCAGCTTGTTTTCTCTGTAACTGGTAACTGTCATGATCACTTCCACATCTGCTGCACTGGCAGCATGTTAAGTATTTTGCTACTTTACACTTGTAAGAAAGCTTTGAATCCGACGCTTGACATCTGTCCTTTGAAATATGTGTAATCTTAACAGAAAATCTGTTGCATGTCCTTACAGTTCCCGATGATTACTGGCTTTGTAAAAAAACTCTATAGATATTGCATTACAATAACACCAGACAATATTTAGAACACAAAATTATCGATATACCAAAAAAGAAAATCATTATATCTACTCCAGTTATTTTCAGTTTTAGGGTTGACCAACACCACTGGACTCCTCATACGACAGTGCATATTCCGTAAAAATTTGCAAGAGAGTTGAGGAAATACTGGATGTGCACCTTCCAGAAGTGGAATACCATACATGATCTGGATAACTCAGAGCTTCCTTGTTAAACACACGTGGAATAAATGAGACATAAAAGTGGTGTAAGATATCTTAATAAGCCCTGTATAACATTATAAACATACAGACAAGATTCAGTACTTACAAAATTTGCTAAGTACACTGGTTCAATGGAAAAAAAAAAGTTATTACTAACAAACTCAAATGCATTTTTATTTTAAGAAAAAATTATGTGTGACACTAAATTTCTTTATTAAATATTTTGGTTTAAATAATATTCAAATTGTGTAGTTACTTGCTTAAAAATAATTATTATTATTATTACAGAAATTAAAAAAAAAACAGATCTTTCTCAAAAGTACCGACTTGTTTATAACACACAAAATCATTATCATTACATTACTACCGTTATCTCACTTTTGTTTCTTTTCTTTAAGGATTATTAGAAAGTTTACAGCAAAAAATCTGCAGCACGGCTGTATAATAATAATAATAATAAAGAGCTTACTGGAAGAAACAGCCTTTGAGCTGCACACAGTTTAAAGAGTTTTCTCCACTCTACTTCAGCACCACCTGTAGGAAAGGTGACTGGATATATCTCAAACGACAACTTCTGTAGAACTTTGTGGGGCCAGTCAAGGATCTGTATTTCAAAATTTAAATCAGAAGTTGAAATTATTATACAGTAGTTTATAATATAAATGTATTATCATTTTTTTAAATAATGTTAATCACAAGTTTCGAAAGAAAAAAACAACAACATATATTAATAGTACACGTACATATACTTTTCCAGTTATAAAATACAAATATTCAATGACGTTAGCAATAATGTGTTTGGAGGAAACAAAGTTCTACAATAAAAAGGATAATGATACGCAAGATAATTTAATTAAAACTAAAACACACAGAAAGTGAAGGAGTAACAGATAAAAATACTGTACATATCAATTATTGTTATTCCAGTAATGTATTTAATTCTTTTTACTTAGGAATGACTCAATTCCTTTATTTTGCTTTAGATACGGAAGATGGAATCTGTACAATTCCAAAACGTTTATCTGTGTCCCCTTCCGTTATAAATAAACAACGTTGTTTACCGTAAGTATTGTTATCATTTTTATTGTGAAACTATTCAGTGTTAACTAACCTTTTCCTCAAGAAGCTTGATATTCGGTTGGTCTGCAGTTAAAACAAAATGGAGATAGCCCTTGTTCAATGCTACTGCAGATTTTAAAGTCGTAATGGTTTGATTAAGTCTGTCTCCACACAGTACAACAGAAACAGTCATCTTCCCAACATTATAACTACCAAACCTGTATGAAGAATATATACAAGTAAACAGAAGATGAAAAAATGGGAACAAAACTTTCACGTCGTACTTCATTCAAGTAACAATTTCTATGTGAAGAAATACAAATACTGGCTAGCTTATTTTTTATGAAGCTTGTAGAATCCTTTAAGTCTAGATACCCTACAGTTTTCAACGGGCAATATCTGAAGTGTAATATTTGTATAAGACCTTCCAATACACATTCTTAGAACATTCTAGTTACTTGCATATGCAAAACAGACTTATAATATAATAGGACTCATGAATGATTGAGCTTTATATAAATGCAGAGATGTAGTCATATCATGATTGGTCTGTAAAAACATGGTAGGATAAAAGATCCCTTTTATCTTTAACATCACGTGCAAATTGATGCCTGTCTTGCAGAAGTGCCGTTATCAACAATAATTTCTTAGACTACTTTACAATAATCGTTTCTTTACTTTACAAACACACTCATCTTTCAAGTTTATCAACAGTAGCAACTGAAAGGGAATACAGCTGCTATTTAACAAAACTGTAAGTGACAATTTCTACTGACTGACTAAAGGAAAGGATGATTCGAAAACTTTGTAAAATGTAACAGACGTCAAATGTATCCCAACTGGATGATTCCTTCAATAGTGGTCAGCATTTAACCATGTACAACTGTACTGTATGAAGGATGTGACAAAAACTGTCCCACGGCAACCAGCTAAAAGACCGTAAACTGCTTATCTTAGTTGTAAACAAGAAAAAACGATACAACTTCGGTAGTATGTAAGAGCAAGAAGGATGATGGATGTCTAGAAGCAAGTGATTGGTTTGCTGAATTACATATTATATTTTTCTGCACTGAGCACAGAATAGAAGTATAACATAACCTACAGACAACAAAAGACTATTAGGCCCCACATAACTTCTTTTCTTACACTCCTGTAAAGGGCTGGCTTCCACTACTGCAACCAAGCTTACTGCTGTCTAGTACATTTTATTTTATTTATCTTTGAATTCAGGGGTCATTAATAATAATTAACTTTTTCTGTTACCCTGAAAGAATATTGATTAATAAAATCTAACAGCATCATAATACAGTAAATAAAGCCAGTTCTGGGGGATAAAAAAGGTATTATATAAATGCATTAGTTTTAAGCCAATAATCTCACAAAAAATCAGTGTTTTAAATTAAAGAAAAAATGCTGTTAATGTTTCTTGAATATATATTCCTAGCTAACAGTGAAGATAAAGATAGTGGTAAGGACAAAAAAATATTTATTTTCACATGCAATAAATGTTTCAAAATATATTTTACCCATCACTGATAAATCCTAAAACAAGGAATGTCTGGTAGAACCAAGCAATTCAATCACAGAAACATAACAATGTTTAGGGACAACAAGGGGTCTATTGGTTTATCTTAGCTGTCCCATTCTCTAAAACTATTACAAAAAAACCCTCAAAGCCTGTACTTATCATTCATATAGTTATCAAGATAAATCCTAAAACAAGTAATGTCTAGTAGAACCAAGCAATTCAATCACAGAAACATAACAATAACAACAAGGGGTCTATTGGTCTATCTTAGCTGTCCTATTCTCTAAAACAAACTAAAACTATTACAAAACCCTCAAAGCCTGTCCTTATCATTCATATAGTTATCAAGCGTTCTCTAAAATTCACTTAAATTTAATGCCTCCACAACATTTGAAGGAAACACATTCCAAAGGCCAACCACCCTGTTAGAAAAGTAAAACTGTTCTTAGCTGAAGATGATACCCTGCCAAAATTTATATTTGTGTCCTATAGTCCAACTATTCTCACCATTAAGTATCAATTCACTTTACAATCTTAAACATCTCAATCAGATCCCCTCTAACTCTACTTTTTTCAAGAGAAAATTTCTTAACCTCTCCTTGTATGACAAACTCTCCATCCCAGGCACCATTCTAGTAGTCCAAGACTGAACACAATATTCCAAATTACCTGTACAATGAAAGTATAACCTCTTTAGCTTTGTATTCAATATTTCTGTAGATACAACCTAAAATCCTATTTGCCCT